AAAGAGAACTTTCTAAGATTAATTTTTTGTTGTTTACTTTATTTACTTTATATGTCTGGGTCTGAATGCCCACTTAGAAGGCAGGAGCATCCAGAAACAACAGCCACAGCTAACCTAAAATGTGGGGATGAAATGGTCACATCTGGAAATGCCCAAAAGATAATTGGCTCCACAGCCTTTTGACCCTCATATAGCATGGAGTAGGAGGAGGATCGGCTTTGGAACAGGACTCTGTCTATTGCTTAAGTATCTTTGTGACTTCAAGCATTTCATTTACTCTCGGAACCTCCATTTTCTCATTTTATTTATTTATTTATTTATGTTTCAACCTGACCGGGGCCGTCCCGCCCTCACCAGGGCCGTTTCAACCTCACCGGGGCTGTCCCGACCTCACCAGGGCCGTTTCAACCTGACCGGGGCCGTCCCGCCCTCACCAGGGCCGTTTCAACCTCACCGGGGCTGTCCCGACCTCACCAGGGCCGTTTCAACCTGACCGGGGCCGTCCCGCCCTCACCAGGGCCGTTTCAACCTCACCGGGGCTGTCCCGACCTCACCAGGGCCGTTTCAACCTGACCGGGGCCGTCCCGCCCTCACCAGGGCCGTTTCAACCTCACCGGGGCTGTCCCGACCTCACCAGGGCCGTTTCAACCTGACCGGGGCCGTCCCGCCCTCACCAGGGCCGTTTCAACCTCACCGGGGCTGTCCCGACCTCACCAGGGCCGTTTCAACCTGACCGGGGCCGTCCCGCCCTCACCAGGGCCGTTTCAACCTCACCGGGGCTGTCCCGACCTCACCAGGGCCGTTTCAACCTGACCGGGGCCGTCCCGCCCTCACCAGGGCCGTTTCAACCTCACCGGGGCCGTCCCGCCCTCACCAGGGCCGTTTCAACCTCACCGGGGCCGTTTCAACCTCACCGGAGCCGTCCTGACCTCACCGGGGCTGTTTCAACCTCACCTGGGCTGTCTCGACCTCACCGGTGCTGTCTCGACCTCACCGGGGCCATTCTGGCCCCAGATGCCGTCCCTACCTCACCGGTGCCGTCTCGACCTCACCGGGGCAGTCTCAACTTCACTAGGGCCGTCTCGATCTTTCCGGGGGCATCCTGACCTCACTGGGGCTGTCCTGGCCTCACTGGGGACGTTTCGACCTCACCGGGGCCGTCCTGACCTCACTAGGGCCGTCCCGATCTCACTGGGGCTGTATTGTCCTCACCGGGACTGTCCCGACCTCACTGGGGATGTCCCAGCCTCACCAGGGAGACACGAAGTTTGGCCCTCTGTCCCCTGCCAGGCGGCTCCCCACCAGACAAAATCTCCAGGCGTTCCTTTTGGCTGAACATCCAGGATGCCTGCTTGGACTACGCCCTCCACCAAGTGCACAGACTGCCTGTCTGCCGTCCCTCAGCATCCCACGTGAGACTGGAACCGGTGGGCGTGCTTGTGTGCCTGCTGGTACAGCAGTTCCACATCGCCGGCCCAGCTGGGCCCAGCCCTGGCCTGCCCCGAACCCGACTCTGCCCCCCGAGTGCGTCCCTCCCGGATGCTAGGAGCTGAAATCTGCAGCCTGCTGGGTTGGGCTCTGTACTTGGTGCCTCTGCACATCCTACTCAGTCTCAATGCTCTTCTTTCTATG